CCTACAAAACTGCGCTCGGATGTGTTAGAATTGTGGATTTTGTTGGCCATTCTGGAAAACCAGAAATATCCCCTCACGCAGCTCCTGGTGGGAAGGGAGCTCGCCTTCCTTCACATCTGAGCACCGTGCACCCCTCGTTCCCCTGCGCCTTCAGGGCCTACCCTACCCTGCTGCTAAGGGTTCTCTGGCCAATGGCCCAAGGTGGGTGCAGAGTCCATCACTAAATGGTTTCCATCCCCACACCTGCCACGTGTCATTTGACAATCTGGACAGAAGCAGCTGGGAATCCAGGGACAAGGGGGCACTTGGGCAGCCCCAGGACTGTGGGAGGGCACATATCTCTGAGCCCGTGTTTGCCGGGTGCCGGTAGGAGGGACAGGACAAGGAGGCGGCGGGCATGGCCTCCTGGCACTGGGGGACGCCTCGGGCTGGTGGCGGTGCCCAGAGCCCGTGGGGCTGAGCCAAGTTGGGCTGGCAGGCCTGTCCCAGCAGGCCGGGGCATCTCGGCTTCCGTCAGGCCTCGGTGCGTCGCCAGGCTGCCGGGGCATCCACCCTGATCCCTCTGATGGAGACTCTGGGTGTCCCAAAACCTGAGGCCCAGAGCGTGTCTGGAGGGCACTTGAAGCTCTGAAGGAATCCGCAGCTTCTGCTGCAGGACTCACCTGTGTGTTTATTTACTGTCGCTGTTGCCTGGTGACAGTGCCACCCGCTGCACTGCCAGCACTTGCACTCAGTGATTTCCCCCTTCAGCAGCCAGGGAGCCCCAACTTACAGAAGAGAAACTGGGGCTCAGAGAGGTGGCAACATTTGCCTGGGGCCACACAGCTTCTCAGTGACAGTTTGAAGAGCTCAAAGCTTGTTTTGTTCTCTCTCTGATGCTGGGACAAACGAGAAGACACCAGCCCGAGAGCATGTGCTCCAGGCTGGGACATCTTGCCCCCACTAAGCCTTAGCGTGCACGTCTGTAGAATGGGTGGGAGCTAGCCTTTCTCCATCCCGCCCCGTGTGGTCACGGGGAGGGTGGGCTCAGTGCTGTTTCTGGTGTGAGGGAGCCCTGCTACCACAGGCGGGGGAGGACGGCCCTGAGGGCAGCCTCTGGACTTTGTCAGGTGGAGGTGAGGATGCGGGCTCTGATCCTTGAGCATCTGAGGCTAAAAGTCCCCCACCCCTGCCATCTACCCAGCCACCTGCACAGGCCCCCGGGGGTGCCTGGCTGGGTAAACACAGGCCTGTTAGGCCTGAAGTAAGTGTGGTGGCTCCCCTGGGGGCCCCTGCCAGACAGGGCATGTCTGAGGAGTGTCGGGGCCCCATGACCTCCCAGAGAGGCCCAAACACAGCTGCTGTCTGCTTGCGGCTGGACCCACCCTGGCCTGGCTGGCCTGCTGTGGCCCCTTTTCAGGGTGACCCCCCCCCGGGAGTTCATTTCCCCATGACCCTCACCAGAGGGTCAGGTTCCCGTGCAGCTAAACCCTGTGGCCCCCGGACTTCACTTCCCCGTCCGCTGCTGCTCCCAGAGTAGCTAGAAAACACCGCGTAATGGGAACAACCTAGCCACTTCAGCGGCACAGACCATGGCTCAGAGTCGAGTAGAAGGCAGGTCGGGAGTCTCGCAGGTGTAGACCAGGAGCTGGCTGCCTGCTCTGTAAATCAGATTTTATTGACTCAGCCCCGCCCGTCCCCGTGGTGTCCTCTATGGCTGAGTTTGCCCTGCAGCAGCCTTGTTAGTGGTGTGACAGACTGTCTGGCCCATAACACAGAAAATACTTCACTCTCTGGTCCCTCAGGGAAAGTGTTTGCAGACCCCAGGTCTAGATGGGGAAGCCGTGGGCAGGCTGGGCCAGCTCTCCTCAAGGAAGCTTTCAGAAAGAGAAGGAGGTATCGGGGAAAGGAGGGGGACGAGAGAAGGAGCTGTCAGGAGCAGCCCCGTGGGTCTGCCATTTGCACCTGGAAAGGTGTTAGGGCCATTCCCTGAATTAGGGAACAGGGTGAGTTAAGACACAGACTGTGGGCAGGTGCAGTGCAGCCACTGGGTGCTGGGGTGCTCACAGCAGGGCCAGGCTGATACAGGAGCTGAGATGCTGTGGGAGCCTGGGGAGGGGCAACTGGTGGGGTTCTTGGAAGCCTCCCTGGAGGAGGAGGTGACTCCAGGTGCACATGTTGGGAGTAGTCAGGTGACAAGGATGGCAGTGATTCTGGGGTCCACGGCGGGGCCTCCCAGGCACTGACTGGCATTTTCTTAAGCTCCCTGGGTGGAGACCCCCTGGGCAGTGGTGAGAAGAGATGGGACCTGGGACAGAGGGCCTCATAGGAGGGTTTTAGGCAGAGGCTTGTCTGGAGCACGTTTATCCAAGCTGACCTTGGCTGCTTGCATCCCTCACCAGGGCTCCCGACTTTTATGGGCAGCAGGTGGATGTCCCCCCGCCCCTCCCCCCGCTTCCTGGCACACACCTGGGCAGCGCCAGGGACCTGAGTGAGGCCCACAGAGCCTGCCAGGGCCAGCTTGAGCCCGAATGCGGCGGGCGAGGTTTGGATCCCAGCACTGCCTCTTACCAGCTGAGCCAGCTCAGCTCAACTCCCTGACCTCAGCCTGCCTTGTAGGTTTTGTCGGGAGAGTTGGGTTAGTGCTTTAAAGGGCTTAGTACAGTGCCCAGCACAAAGGCAGCAATTGATACGGCACTACTAGTATCAGTAACAAAGTGGCCCTTGATGTCCAGCTGAACAGTAATGGCGCATGTCTGCCCTCTGCATCCCCACACCTGGAATAATCTAGACCCCAGTGAGTGTGGGGTAAATGCATTCCCTATGGGACAGTTTTGAGAGAGACAGAGCCCCCCAGTGGCCGCTTAGGAAATTGCTGCCCTCCAGGCAATTCCTCCCCAGACTGCAGGTGAGAATGCTCTGACCTGGGAACCCTCAAGAAACCGTCCCCGAGGAAACTTTTAGGATGATAGATATGTTCATTGCCTTGGATTGTGGTGATGGGTTCCTGGCATATAGCTTTGCCAAAACTTAACGAAATTGTGTGCTTTGAATGTGTGCAGTCGATTGTGTGTTAGTTACATCTCAATAAAACTAAAATTAAAGGAAGGAAGACATCCCTTCCCCTAGGTCTGGGGCTGGCCCTGCATGTCACCGGCATGGGAGTGGAGCTGCATTCCAGGTTTGTTGAGCAATGGCCTGGGGCCCTTTGCTGATGAACTGTCTGTATTCCATTTATAACCTGGGCTCACAGTCATAAGGGGCAAGACAGACTAAAGTACTCAATAAATATGTGGACAGATGCTTTGAAGGAAATAAGCAGATGATGGGATTTTTAATGGGAGGAGGCCCTTTAGCTGATGGTGTTAGGGGAAGTCTGCAGGGGGCACTGTACTTGAAAAGCAAGAAGGAGCCCAGCTGTGCAGTGGGACAGCCAGTGCAAAGGCCTTGGGGTACACACTTAGCACTTCACTGCACTAGATGGCAGGTGGGCGTGATAGGAGGGAGAGTGGTGGTGGCACCCAGCGCTTTTGTGAGCTCACTGAGGGCCACGTGCACCCCAGTTGGTTTGCATGTTCCCCTCCTGAAGTCCTTCAGCAGCTCCAAGAGGCAGGTGCTTGTACTGCAATTATCCACAGTTTCTGATGCAGTAACTCGCCCAAGGTCGCACAGCAAGCACCTAGGCTTTCTTATCAGCCGATTCACCAGTTCATTTGATTTATTCTAAGGTCCACGGAAGCTGCTGGAGGGCTTTGAGAAGGGGGGGCCCGTGAATCAGATGTATGTTTTGGAAAACGTAACTTCGGAGGGTGCATTTTCGGGAGACAGCTGGGAGCCAAGAGATCAGTGACGTGGTCCTGTCCAAGGGAAACGTCCAGGCCCGGGTAGCCTGGGGTAGCCGCGGGGGGGATAGAGGGAGGCGGATAGGTGTGAAATCTCATTCCAAATGGCAGCTCTCAGAGCCCAAGCCGGGTTGCCCCTTTTTTGTCCCAGCTCTGCCCAACCCACTGACCCTGTCCCTTTCCTCCTCATACAGGAAGGATGCCTCTGGCCCTCGGAGAGTACGGTGTCGGGCAATGGAATCCCGGAGGTGAGACCAAGCACTGTGTCCCTGCCTTCTGCCCCTGCCCCGCCAGCCCCCCACCCCGCCTGTACCCCAAGGCCGCTATAGTGGACGTTGAAGGACCTCTGCCCAGCGTTTCCCCTCCTCCAGGCCAGAGGCCCCTTCCCGTGCTGGAAGAGTGTGGCTGCCAGAGCTCACACCTGCCCTTCTCTGAAGAATTGTCCTTGGCTGTGGGGACCCCCCCTACCTAGACATCATATGCTCCCTTCCCCAGGGAGCAAGCAGCCCACAATGTCCGCAACACTGAAGGACAAGGCTGCCCCTCTTTGAACTCTGTGACGATGTTCGCACTCCAGGGCTCTCCAGCCATGAGATGTCTGGACTCTGGGCTCAGCTCCTTCCCCCCGCTCCTGCTACGGCCTCTCCCTGCCCCCAGAGAGCAGAGTCACGGGCAGCCCAACCCCCGTCCCCGGACCTGCAGCTGGGGGACCCTCACTGTACTCTCTCCCCTCCAGCCGCAGGTCTACGCCCCGCCCCGGCCCGCCGACCGCCTGGCTGTGCCCTCCTTCGCCCAGCGGGACCGCTTCCACCGCTTCCAGCCCACCTACCCGTACCTGCAGCACGAGATCGACCTGCCTCCCACCATCTCGCTGTCGGACGGGGAGGAGCCCCCGCCCTACCAGGGCCCCTGCACCCTCCAGCTGCGGGACCCCGAGCAGCAGCTGGAGCTGAACCGGGAGTCCGTGCGCGCGCCCCCAAACAGAACCATCTTCGACAGCGACCTGATGGACAGCGCCGTGCTGGGTGGCCCCTGCCCCCCCAGCAGTAACTCGGGCATCAGTGCCACGTGCTACGGGGGTGGCGGGCGCATGGAGGGGCCGCCCCCCACCTACAGCGAGGTCATCGGGCACTACCCTGGGGCCTCCACCTTCCAGCACCAGCAGAGCGGCGGGACCTCCTTGCTGGAGGGCCCCCGGCTGCACCACTCACACATCGCCCCCCTGGAGAGTACAGCGGCCTGGAGCAAGGAGAAGGATAAGCAGAAGGGACACCCCCTCTAGGAATTCCTGGTGGCCGGGGCTGGGGCAGCAGCAGGTTCAAAAACAAAAACAAGAACAAAAACACTCCGCACTTCTCGAAAGAGAAGAGAGGAGAACGGGGCGACACAGAAAATGCGACGCGTAACCATCCTCTCCCCACCTCTCTGTGTATAAATATTTACATGTTCTGTCTGGTCTGAATGCACAAGCTAAGAAAGCTTGCAAAACAAAAAACAAAACAACACACACACACACACACACAAAAACACGTTTCTTTGTTGAGCTGTGTCTTGAAGGCAAAAGAGAAAAAAAAATTCTACACTAGTCTTTTCTGTTTCTAGTTGAGCTGCGTGCGTGGATGCTTTCTTTTGTTTGTTTATGATGATTTCACTTAACTTTAAAGACATATTTGCACAAAACCTTTGTTTAAAGATCTGCAATATTATATATATAAATATATATAAAATAAGAGAAACTGTATGTGCGAGGGCAGGAGTATTTTTGTATTAGAAGAGGCCTATTACAAAAAAAAAGTTGTTTTCTGAACTAGAAGAGAAAAAAAATGGCAATTTTGAGTGCCAACTCAGAAAGTGTGTATTACCTTGTAAAGAAAAAAGAAACTACAAAGCAGGGGTCTAGAGCTATTTATATAAATGTCGAGCTTTTGCACTATTTTTTAATATAAATATGTCAGTGCTTGTTTGATGGAAACTCCTATCACGTCTGTTGAGACTTTTAAGGGAGATGCGGAATCTCACGGTGGACGTCAGGCAGAGGGTGGGCCCCGCGCTGAGCCTGGAGAGAGGCTTCGGGGGGGCTGGCTTCCTGCAGAGCGGCAGCTTCTGTCTAGCGCCAGGTCGGTACCTCATCCTACATTCCCGCCCGAGGGAGACACGTCCCCTCCTCTGGGCCAGGCAGCCTTTGAATCGCAAACAGCAGAGGAAGATCACTCGAGGCACCGAGTTCCAGGCGGTGGGTTTTGCTTTTCCCGAAATGAAGACAAACTGTTACTGAAGGAATCTCAGTTTTTTCCTCTCTCTCTCTCTCTCTTTTTTTTAACCATGAAGGTCCCCGTAGGAAGGGGCTGATTAAGGTGCTCCTCGCCCCCCGCCCGTGTGGCCAGGGCCGCTCCGTCAGGCGGCTTGTGTGCGCGGACGCAGCGGGTGCCGCCGGCTGGCCGACAGGAAGGGCCCGGAGGACTAGGAACGCGACCTGTCCCTGCCTTTCTCTTTCTGTCTCAGCTCTCACCTAACAGGCGCGTAACCGGAAGACCAGAGGTGAAAGGGTGACACGCCCAGGTTTTTCCTAGGACATTGCGGAAGGGTTAAAACGAGAAAAACAGTCCCATCAACGCGAACTCGAGCTTTAGGATGTAGAAGCAGAATTCTCTGTCTCCTCCTCTTCCGCGTTTTCATTCCCTCCCCTGTGGAAACCATCCTGTTTGACGTGTTTCCAATCTGTGTTTTCACTAAGCATTTTTCTCAGACAGGACTCTTGTTTTCCAGGATTCTACCGAGTAGATTTCAGCGGGACCCCCTTGCTGGTGGTGTGCGGGCGGGCACACGTGCGAGCTAACACAGATGGCAGGGAGAGAGTGGAGTGGGGGTCCCTCGGGATCTGCCAGGCACGGTGGCTGGAGCCCCTCTGAGGACGGGCTAGTATTCCATGGGGGTGACGCTCCCACCAGAAGAGCAGCCCCCCCTCCGCCATCCTCCATTCCGTGGAGGTGTCTTCTCGCCGTTGGCAGAATGCTAACTGGCAGGTTAACTCAAGAGAAAGGTATGAGGCAATAACTTGTTTTTAAGCAACTTTTTTATGACTTGAAAAACAAAACCTCGAGAACAGTTTTGACGTTCTGACCATTTGAACTCTATTTCTATATATATATACCTTTTAAGAACATGGTGGCCAATCTGACCAAGGCCTCTGAGTGTCCACTCACCAGCCTGGCAGAAGGTTCTGGTACCTTGACGATAAAACCTGCCTGTCCGTGGGGTCTTCAGCCTAACCTTTGCTTCTCTCCCTCGAAGATGCTTTTAAAAGGTCTTGCAGAGAAATCCATAGAGTCTGTCCTGAAAGGTACAGGGACACATTTGTAGATAAAATTTTTAAACGTAGCTTTCCTTTACATGAAGCGTCTCCCTAGTGCCTTACTGAGGAAGCAGTGGACCCCTCTTGTTCCCAGGCGGCGGCGTTCCTGGACAGTGCCCCGCTCACCTGGGCCTGGCCTTCCCGCTCGTGGTGGGCAGAGGGCTGCTGCTGCTTTAAAAACACCCCCATCACCCTCACATTGTGTCCCGCCTGCCCCCCTTCCACCTTGGATGTGCCTCTCTTGGTCAGGCCACCCCTCCTGCCCCTCCAGCCTCTTGTCAGGAGCTTGTTCAAATCCCATCTGGGTTGGAAACCTGGACGTGGACCTTGTTTGCGTGAGCAGCGTCAGCCGAAAGCCAGGCTGAAGTGTCCCCGGGGTCCTCTTGAGCTAAACCTTGAATCTTGTTGCTTGGCGGTGTGGTCTGCATTTGCCATATTGGCAGCAAGTTAGAAGGAGGTGGGGGGTGGAGAGTTACTGACCTCAGCTGGCTTGAGGCCATAGCAGCCCCCCATGACACCCCAGGATCGCAGTCCAGGCCTCAGTGCTGCATTGTCCCCGGGCTTTGTGCCCGGCGGGTGACGATTGCAAATGTTCGTGGCGGAGTGACTTGTCAAAGCCAGGGTGCCTCCCAAGAAAACTAGTGGGGTGTTTCTGCAAAGTTCTTGGTTTCTCTGCTGGACCCAGAACCCCGAGGGTTGTTGTGCCAGTATCTTTGAAGAGCCTTTGAGCACCTCTGGGGAGGCCCCCTCCGTCCAGTAGAAAGTTGGGGGTGTCCTCGGCAGTGGCTGGTTGGAGGGGGACCAGGCTGGGCTCAGAGAAGGTGGCAGACCTCGGCTTTTCTCTGCTCCTCTCGCTGTTTCCTTGCTTGTCAGTCATCCCTTTTCCTCCAGATGAAAACCACTTCCCCCACAAGGCCCAGGTCTACGCAGACGTCCACGCTCCAGTGTCTTTGCCAGGAGCTGAAAGCGGCTCCCCTCCCCACACCCAGCGACGTCCGGGGCAGGGCGAGGACTGAACCCACTCCCCGCCCGTGTCTGTCTGCGCTGTGAATTGCACGACTCGGAGAATGTATGTTTCTCCCTATGTGCTGCACCAAGCTTCCCGATCTGCAAAGCAACACATCCCGATAAGGAAGGAAAAGGTTCCGTTCGGTTGGGTTTTCCGGAAACTGCGCTTCGAACTTTGCTGTACCATAGAGCTCGGGAGGACCCGCTGCGCTCTCGTTCGCCTGCCTGACTCCCTGATGGTTGTGCTGATGGCGACGCTTCCACGTGGCTCCCTTGGTGTTGGGACTGCTCTCCGCAGCCCTGTTCCCCAAGTTCTGTTCAAGTTACACGTATGTAAACTCTCTGTGGCACGCTGGGCGCGGCGCCCACGCTGCTGCTGCGTAGGACTCTGTGTTTGAATGCCAATCCACAGGCCTGATGAAACCGCTTGTTGTGTATCAATAATCATTAGTGGCAATGATGACATTCTGAAAAGCTGCAATACTTATACAATAAATTTTACAATTCTTTGGAACGAGGCTCTTCCGCTTCCTGGGCTGCATCGCTTTCCTCCGCCACCCTGTCCCCTCTCCCCTCCCCTCAGCACCAGCTCTGGGGTGCGTTTAGTGGGAAGGAAGCCGACCGTCAGAGCTGCTGTGTGGCCTTGAGCATGATCTGTCCACCTCTCTGTTTTCATTCAGGCCACATTCAGGGAGCCCACTTGCACAGGCGGGCGGAGCATGGGGTGGCACTGGCAAAACCTTGCCTACTCTTCTTGCCTCTTGGGAAATCATCCACCAGGGCGTGACAAAAACTCTGATAAAGTTTCTGCAAGAAAGAAATGGTCTTCGGTGGGGGTCTTCCAGAGGCAAACACTGAGGCATGAACTTGTGTGAAGGGTATATCGAAGTTGTGCTCCCAGGGGAGACAGTGAAGGGAGTCGGGAAGAGGACTGAGAGGCAGGAGAAGTTGTGCTGGGGGACTGTTTTAGGCAAAGTCCCAGCCTCAGGCTGATCCCAAGGGGACTTGTGGGAAGCTCCGGGTTGCAGGGTACACCCGGGAGAAAGGCAGGCTCTCAGATGCTCCTGGCTCTTCCTGCGGGAGAGTGGAGCAGGGTGGGACGTCCCACGAGCCCCAGGGTGCGCCTCTGAAAGTGTCCCCGGGTGCCAGGCCTTAGCAGCAACCCACATGGAAGCCGGGGACAGGATCCCAAGGGGTCAGGTGGGACACTCAAGCACCCTCTACAGAAACTTGTTTCTCTAAATAGAATCATTTTTCATGTCTGATCAAGGCTCTTTCAAAAAAAAAATCAGCCAAAACAGAGTTGATCCCCAGGGACGATCACTGTTTGGCCTCAGCCCCAGGGTTCTGTAAGCTTCTGGATTACAGACATCTATGATCGGGCAGAACCCGGCACACATCTGCCTCACCTGTTCCTGTCTGGTGGACAGACCTCAGGGATTACAAGGAATTGGGGAGAAATCAAAAGAGCTCATCACTCTGCGGTAGTGAGAACAGGGCACCACGGGGCTGTGTCCCAGCCTGGCTCAGAGCCCGAGTGCCTCTTACATACGGTCACTCCCCTGGCTGGCCCTCATTCACCTCGTCTGTAAAATGGGTTGACAGCAGGCAGTGCTGGCCCCTGGTGTCTGATTAGACAATGCCAAAGGGTGCGTGGCTGACAGAAATAGTAGCCACTCTCAGTAATGATGGATTCTCAGGGAGGGTTTTCGTTTACTTAAAAGTCCTCCAAAGCTTCTGGATGAGTTTACAGGTCCTGGGCTGAGCACACAGGCAGCACCACCACCATGGAGGGCAGTCATGGGTTCTGATCCAAAAGGAGACACCCCGACCCCCAGCGCAGACTCTGAGTACAGCTCAAGCAGCCAGCGCCGCACCAGTCCAGAACAACAGCTGAGATCACCACGGCTGTTTGAGTGAATTTGGCAGCTCATTTCAGGAGGCCTCACCTTGAACTCCTTGCATGTTGTTTTGAGCACGACCAGCGAGGTGCATTGAACCCGACTCTGACCTCGAAGAACTCGCCTTCTGGTTTTAGAGACCAGCTCACAGCTTGTGACCACAGCACAACACGATGAGGGGAAGGAGAGAGGGTGCTAGGAGCCAGGGGGCAGAGGCCAAGAAGGGACTGAGCAGGGCACCTGACCGCTGGCCAGGCGATGCCCTGGAGGGGAGGCTGAGCCCCTGGTGGGTGGGGGCACAGAGGGGCCCAGCCTGGCTGGAACCGCAGGTGGGCGATCACGTGACCAGAAGAGGGTAGCAGTCTCCATTTAGAGCCGACCCGATATCGAGGGATCTCACACCCGCCATGGGCCAGCATCACACCAGCGCCAGGGACACAGGGTGACAGGCCAGGCCCTATCCGTTCCCCCCTGCTGCAGCCCCCAGACTGGTGTTTGCTGCAGGAGACAGGCAGGGCCCCACCTGGCCTCCTGCAGGTCCGACCCTGAGGTTGGGGGCAGCCTCAGGCTCTCTGTGAGCCGGGAGCCCCGCAGTTAGCTGAAACTCCACGGGCTGGCGGGGCTCCCCACCTCCCTGTCACCCGGAGCCAGGCCCAGCAGCCAGGGCTTCCTGAGAGAAGTCTGGAATCTGGCTGGAGCAACGGGGCTTTCCTGTTCTCTGTGGTGGCCGCTGTCCGCCTGCCAGAAGCCCCTTGTCACCTACCAGGTGGCTCCCCTGGGCCCCACTTCCCTCTCCTCCTTGTAGCCCACCTGCTCGTGGGGAGAAGGGTCCTTCCTAGTCACCTGTGCCCATGCTGCACCAGCTCGGCGACCACGCCTGCCTCCTGACTGCCTCCTGCCCCTCGGGGGTCAACCTCGAGTCTGGCAGGGGCTCAGAATCTTCCACGGCTCCCATGGCTTCAGGAGGAAGCCACGTGGCAGGCGCCTGGTGACACTTTCTTTTTCCCACTTACACCTGATGCTCCAGCGGCAAGCATCCTGCCAGCTGGCTGTCCCTGTGCGCCCGCTGCCCTTCCTCGCCCTACAACTGTGTCGCTGCTGCCCTCCTCCAACCCCTTCACTCTCCTGACCTACATTCAAGCATTATGGTCCAAATCAGATAGTACCTCCTCCAGGAAGGCTTCCAGCATGCCCCCAGCCTGGGCCGGCTGCCCTCGTCTGTGCTTCCCTGTGTCCTTCTACTGACAGTCACTGCATCATATGTGGAGTTCATGGCTCATCCCCCAGGAGACTGAGCTGCCTGAGGTCAGAGCCGAAGTCATATGCATCGTCTACGGGGTGTAAGTACTCCCAGGAGAGATGGGGCCTGCATTTCACAACAGCTTTCATTCTCACAACACTCCCATTTTACAGACATGGAAACTGAGGCACAGAGGTCTGCTGGCCTCCCGTGTCATCAGACTGCAAGAGTTATCACACCCTGCATTCCAACCTGGGATCCTCTGATCCCCTAAATGTTTTTTAATTTATGTACATGAAGGTTAATTCTTTGTATTGTAAAGTTTTGGCAAATGCACCATGTCATGTCTCCACCACAGCAGGATCACACACGAGAGGCTCACTGTCCTGAAAAATCCCCTGTGCCTCACCTGTTCAATATTCCTTCCCACCAGGGTCCTGCAAACAGGGCTGGTTTTGCCAGCGCTATGATTCAGCCTCTTCCAGAAAGTCATGTAATAAGAATCATGCAGTTTGTAGCCTTTTCATTTGGGCTTCATTCACTTAGCAACGGCCTGGTCTTCAGCCCACCCCCTACTTCTCCCCTCTCGCTTCCTTTCTACCGGAGTCCTCTCCACTTTTACTTCCAACTTGTCAAGCCCAGTGACTCTGCTGTTCTGCCCTGTAGTGTGATTCAGCCCACTGTGCCTTCTCTGTGAGTTGGTCCTGAAACTGAAATCCAGTAGATGCTGACAACATTGCTGTGACTCTGTGCATGCTGTTCGTTGCCTTGCAAAGCCCGATTCGGTATAAAGAACTGAGCTTTGTTGTTGGTTTTTATTGCACAGTGCTATGGACTGAGCTGTGCCCCCACCCACTGCCTACTTCATATACTGAAGCCCTCACCCTCGGTGTGATGGCATTTGGAGACTGGGTCTTTGAGAGGTACTTAAGTTCAGGTGAGATCATGAGGGTGGGGCCCCCACGATGGGATTAGTGCCCTTAAAAGAAGAGATACCAGAGAGCTCTTCCAAACCCCCACCCCACGCTCCACCCATCTGCAGACACAGCTGGAAAGCAGCCACATGAAGCCAAGAAGGGACTTCTCACCAGAACCCAACCAAGCTGGGGCACTGATCTCAGGCTTCCCGCTTCCAGAACTGCGAGAAAATAAACATCTGTTCTTTAAGCCCCTCAGTCTTTTGTGGCATTTTGTTATGGCAGCGCTAGTGGGCAAGACACACAGATAATCCTTAATTATTGAAGGGGAAGATGAGAAAATACAGAATACTAGCCACCTGTGTGCTGCTAAGAGACAACCCATGCTCTGTAGGTATTTTTCTGTGTTACACACAACCACGTATATTCAAGTCATACTCTAGCTTTATAAGCATCGTTCCCTAATAAACTTTGAACACATTATCTTATTCATAAATGAAGGTCAATATCTCTTCTTTTTTTCATAGCTTCAGAGCATTCCATGGTGCCAATTTCCTAATTTACTTAAGTGGTCCCCTTTGCTTGGACATCTAGGTTGTTCATAATCCCTTCCCCTTTCTAAACTATGCTGTGATGATGCCCCCCACACACACAAACCCATCCTGGTACCCAGGTGACATCACCTCATTAGGCTAAAAGGAAGAAGCCCCAAATGTAAATGTGACAGGACACAGGGTGGCCCAGACCGAGTGCGAAAAGGCAGAGGCCATGTGCCAGGACCGTGGCCGAAGGATGTGGTCCCTCTTACACACTCTCAGAAATGCTTCCCATCCCTAGGTGTCCACTGAGTGACCGTGAATCAGTTCATCCAGTATTTTAGTTTTCTTCTGACAAAATAAAAGTGTATGTTTCCATTAATTCTTTATGTAATAAGTGACCCAAACCGACTCAGACTGGCTTCAGCAGACGAGGGAGTCGCTGACTCTTGTCCCCAAGAGGCAGCTGGCCGGGAGCTGGGTGTGACCACGCCCCCTACCCAGACGGGCTCCTGGCGCTGCCGGGAAGGTGTCTGCCTCCGTGGAAATGCTCATCTCTACCAGCTTCCCTTTCAGGCAGCTTTTCCTCCCCCGGCCACCTCCTCTCCGGGTTCATTTCCTGACAGCTCTAAATCCAGTGGGAAGGAATTGTTCCCAGTTCTTCCATCACGAGTCCCAGAATGCAATCCCACTGGGCTGGCTGAGGTCGTGTGCCCATCCCTGAGCCAATCACTGCAGCCACAAGAAGAAAGGCTCTGACTAGCCTGGCCTGAGTCGCATCCCCTGCTCTAGACCTGGAGGTGGGGTCCACCTCCTCCCACCCCTGTGGACTGAGCAGGGGAAGAAGCGTTTCTCCAAAGGAAAATTGGGGTGGTGGTGCCAGAAGAAGAGGGGGCTGGGTGCTGGGCAGCCATAGCCAG